ATTTCTCAGCACACAAAAAACACAACCATAAATATATATATATACACACACACATATGTAATATTTCAATATATTTACATTATATAATATACATGTTATATATATATATATGTGTAAATTGGACTTCATCAAAATTTTGAAATTCTGCTCTTCCAAAGTTATCATCAAGAAAACAAAAAGGCAAACCATAGATGGGGACAAAATATTCACAGTGCAAATATCTTGTAGAGTTTTTATCCAAAATATAGAAAAATTCTTACAGCTCAGTAATTAGATAACCCAAATAAAAAATCGGCAAAATATTTGAACAGGCACTTCCCAAAAGATATACAAATGTCACGTAAGCATATGAAAAAATGTTTAACATCATCAGGGAAAGGCATACTAAAACCACAACGAGATCTACTACACATCCACCAAAGTGGTTAAAATGAAAAATAATGACAATATTAAGCATTGACAAGGATATGGAGCAACTGAAACCATACACTGCTTGTCAGAATGCGAAATGGCACAAATACTTTGGAAGTTTCCGTTTCATCAAAAGTTACACATACACTTACCATAAGACTCAACAATCCTACCTCCAGGTATTTCACCAAGAGAAATGAAAACACATCGCCACACACAGACCTGTAACATATACACATAGCAGCTTTATTCATAAGAGACCAAAACTTAGATGTTCATCAACAACCTAGATGCCCATCAACATACATGAATAGCTATAAATTGTGGTTTAACCACACAACAGAATAATACTCAGCAATAAAAATAAAACCTATTGCTGATATACACAATAGCACAGATGAATCTCCACATGGATGGATTTCAAAAGTATTATGCTGAGCAAAAAGTGTCAGACACAGAGTAAATATTGTATGATTTATTTGAAATTCTATTAGAGTCAAATCTAATTTTTAGTCACAGAAAGCAATCAGTGGTTGAACAATGCTGGTTCTTGGGGTGGAGGGGAACTCACGACAAATGAGCATTAGAGAACTTTTTGGGTGATGGAAATATTCTACATCTTGATGGTAACGGTGATTGTGTGGTTGTTCACATTTGTTAAAACTCCTCAAACTGTAAACTTATAGGGTGCATTTTATTATATGTAAATTACACTCTTAAGAAATTTGACAGGGTGGGCAGAGAATATGATTTATTTTACATTCTTTCCTTCTAATTAAATCTAGAGTCAATACTGTGGGTCCTTCACAATTCCCAGTGAGTATATCTTTGGATATGCTGAACAAATGTTTATATATTGTCTTATAATTGACATTATCCATTTCCAATAGAATTTCCATGACTTAAAAAATATATGAAGTTAGAAAAAATTCCCAATTTGGTGTTTATCCCATGCTTACTTTGAAATATAATTTTCACTAGTTTTTGTTGGAGTTTGAGGGAATTATGAAATAATACTCCCTGTCCCCTCCTGACTTCTGAGCCACTTGAGAGACCAAGCCAGGTAAATGGAGATATCAAATTTATTGCTGAAGGATGTAGGTTAAAGGGTGTAATTTAGGCTTGTACCAATAATGGCCACCTAGTATCTAACCCAGAATTAGACCTGCTCACCAAGGAATGGGCAGTCCTGTACAACCACAGGGCTCCCCTTGCAGAGGCAGAGAGCCTTTCACTGCAAAGGTTATGCCGTGCCTGGCAAGAGAATACAACATAGGCTCTCTGCAAGCATTACAAATCCCCAGAAAGGGGAGAAAGGTTTGCATGTCCAGTTCTTTATCCTGAACTCCCTTCTGCAGGGCGGTTGGGGTGATTAGAGAAGGGAGGGATCAGGATTCCTTGCTTAATGGATGAAAGGAAGCTATCCCTACCCTCTGCCTTCCCAACAAAACGTAGATCAACATTTCTCAACCTGTCTTCCACCGTGGCACACAGAGCAAGTTCACATACAAGATGCATTAAGGCACAATTCATGGTATGCCAGCCACAGGGCTACCCCTTCCCTTCCATTCAAGAAGGCATATTTAATTGCAAGTGACTAAAGTGACATATTTCATTTTAATTTACTTTGGTAATGAGTCAATCACTTACAAGTTTCTGTATTTTATTATTGATTTTAAAAAAACCAAACCCTTACTTTCTCAATCCTAAAATGTCATAAATTACAAAGTACACACCATTGGCTTAATAAAAATCTCTCAGAAAAAAACACATTTAATATACCAATTGACTTAAAGATAATCCTGGAACTATGGTTCCTGTGTCAACTCAAAACTCATGTAGATACATGTATGTCATGAAATCAAAGCTCCAGAATGGCTGGTCCAGAGTCAATTTAGAAAGGCTACTGACTCACAAAGTCTGAAATAAAAACAAACAAACAAAATTTTCTTCCTGCTGGGAAAGGCAGTAAGACAAGCTTTTGACATCATTACATAAAGCATAATTTTCAAACTGAAGACGCTATAGTGATCAGTTATAATCATGGCAACTCTAGCTTTCTCAGATAAAACTTTTTTAGTCTTCCCTAGAATTTTGTCATATAACATCAATTTAAAAGCTCTTTACACTAAGACTACTACCATAAAATTTTGTACCTAGGCCCCAACTGCAGTAAATCTGGGTTCTGTGATCTATAACTTGCATGACTTTTCAATGTTTGTGTAGTATTTGTTAGCACATTTAAGATAAACACTCTATAACCTAAAAACCTGTTGTCTAGAGAATACATGGATTCTCAAATTATCAGGCATGACCTGGATGTGTGGTGTTCTGACTAATGAGTGTCTATGCCATACAATTTTCAAATAAGAATACAAATTATATTCAATATACTGTTTAATGTTATTTCAGAGGGTATATTAAACATCTTTAATTATATCACTATTATGAGCATCAACTATTTTTCTTTCAGATTCAAAAGTATTTGTTACTGCAGTTAACAAGCTTAGCAAACGTCTGTGTATCAGTATTCACATTTTATAAAATGATATATGCATTTTTCTCTTCACACATAGAAGAGTGTTAACTGAGCATCTTCTGGGGCATGAATAAATGAGCTGCCTTCCTTCTTCATAATTCATTATTCCTTTTCTCTCCATTTTTATGTCTTCCAACTTATGTCTTATATCTGAGTAAGGAAAAGACTAATCTGGCCTACCGATATCAATACAGGAAAAACACTAAGTTCTTTAACAGAATCTTGTGGCTACATGCCCTCCATCCTGGGTCTTGCCTCTTTTAGTGTTGAGATAGACTTTATGACAAGAATAACCCCAAATGATAACCATCTGGTCCTACAATATCAAAAGTAGTGACTCCTCACTTTCAGATAAAGATTACAAAGTTCTCCTACCTTCTTAAAATCAGAAGAAACTGAGGTTAAATATCTCCAAACTAATTCAAGTTCTTCATAGAAATAGCTAACATTTACTGAGTGCATCCTATGCAAGATACCATCCAAGGTGCTTTACATATTTTATTCCCACATAACAAAGAAATTAAATAAATAAATCTAATTTTTCAAAAGCTAACAATACAAAGAGGCAGATCTTTAAAATGCAGGAAAAAAACTATTTATTCACAAATTACACGACAAACAAAAACCCAGTACTCAAAACAACATACCAAAGGGTGAATGCTCACTTCTGTAGATGCCCAAGTATCTACCCTGGGAGAATATCCTTTATTCAATGAAATAAAATGTAATTAGTATTTGCTTTTTGGATTACTCTAAAACTAACCTCTCTAACCAGAGCTAACTTTCTGATGTAACTTTGGGGAAAATACAATACTTGGGAAAAAAAGAGGTAAGCATTTCACTAAAGGAAAAATTTTTTAAATCATCTCAGAGGGTGGGGGGTGGGCTGGATGGGGGATGGGCATTAAGGAGGGCACTTGTGATGATGAGCACTGGGTGTTGTATGTAAGTGATGAGTCACTGAATTCTACTCCTGAAACCAGTATGTCAATTAACTAGAATTTAAATAAAAATTTAAAAAGGAAAAAAAAATCATCTCAGAAAAATGTCGACCATTCCTCACATGCTCCAACAGGTTATGGTGAGATTCCTTAAAATAAAATAGCTGACTTTCATTTCTAACAAGGGTAAAATTAATTTTACAGCAATAATAGCTTCCTGAGTGTCAGAAGTAACAGTACCCAGCAGTCCATACAATTGTACTACAATATACGTAGTATAAAAATAATAATTCACATTAGCAATGACAGTTTTGATTTGTGAATACGACTGTGGCCTTTCAATGAAATATTTCTTTAAATATATCCTTCTCTACTCACATATTGTACCACAGTCACGTTTCAGTTTCTATGTATGTTGTGGCTAAATTATTCATTCACTGGCACTCATTAACATCCTTACTTTTTTATTTTTAGAAAGATATAATCTAGCTATTTAAAACTGAAATTGTAATTTAATTGAGTAGTTGCAAAAAAGTTATCTAGAAAAGGACTTCCAAACCATTAGCTGGAAAGTTATAAGCAAAAGATAAATTATTTTTAGAGTTTTTAAGCTTTTAAAAATAAGGAGAAGAAAAAAGTGCTTTTGACTGGGACAACACAGTAGTACAATTTGTTATGACACATCTATAAAAGCCATTCATTTTTTAAAAATGCACATCTGAAACAGGACCTACCTGTGGAAAGGAACACTATCCACTTTAACAACTAAAAAAATAAAACCATCGTTCTGACATTTATCAGTATTTTACATATCTAATACTGAAGGAGGCAACTACTATTTTCATAATAATCTTAAAGTCAAAATATTAAGCACAAATCAGAATTCAGAGAAACTTCGAAAATGTTTAGAATGTACACACTTGCATGCATTTGTCAAACTTTCAAAGATTCCACATATAACCAAATGACAGACAACTTTGAATCAAAATGAATGTCAAAGATATTCAAGCTTTGTGACAGACTTACTCTAATGCAACCAGAAAAACAGAAGAGTAAATAGCAAGAGCAGTATATTTCTTAAGGAGGGAAAGAAATCACCGACTTCCTTTATCATGACACAAAAGTCAACAAGTCAGCATTTTAATAACACTGGCCATCAAGTGATTCACTAGTAGAGAATTCACTTTTCAAGTTGTGTCTTTAAAATGCATTCGCTTATATTTTTGGATTACATTAAGTTTAGTAAAAAGCCACCGTACTCAGATTTCTAATCTTAAGAAGTTTAAATCATAACTTATCATAGTCCAAACACTGTACAGTAATTCTACCGTTTAGTTTTTATATGTCTCATCTGCAAAACTCACTTTACAAACAGGAGTTTTGCTCTGTTTCTCCACAGTTAACGTCCCTATGCCTAAAATTTTAAGTGGCAATCAAAAAGACAGATTCAAAGGATTCCCGCTACTTCATCGGGCTTTGATAAAAACAGAGCCATCTGGTGGTGTAGCACCGTCTTCCTTCTCAGTGACCGTCTCTACGGTCCCAGAAGCCGACACAATAACCATCGTTTTATTTGGTGGAACCGTCTTCTGTTTCTCAGCAATCGCCGCACAAACAGCAACAATCTCATCACTTTCAAAGTCATAGTCAGGTATTGACTTTGGTGAGAAATGGGTTACTTCCACTGATGCTTCACACTTTTTAATCTTCTGTGCTACCTTCTGCTGCTCCTGGAGTGTTCGTGCCCAAGAAAGGTCTTCTTTCCATATTTCAGGGTTCATTGGATAGATGTGAAGGGCGACCTGAAAACTTCGAATTGCCTAAGGGAGTTAAAAAAAAAAAAAATCAAAGTTTTTTTTTTGTTTGCTTTGTTTTAAAAAAATGAGTGGATTTAATATAATCCATAATATCTATCTCTATCTCTTTAAAATATATATATAAATATATATTTATATATTAAAACCTATAAATATATAAAATAAATATGTGTGTGTGTGTGTATCTTTTTTTAAAACATATTAGAATGTAAGGATAGGAATTAGGGCTGTGGCCTAAACACTGGATGATGATTATGATGAAAAAAAAAAAGTTAAAGAAGTGTGAAAGAAAGTGCCAGACAAATTGCTGCTGAGGACTCCAAGTCCATTAAAGTACAGGTAATGCTATTATAGTTCAAACAAGGCAAACGCATTGCTCTGCTTCTGCAGGCCAGCAGATAATAAGAATCTAGGGACTCCTTGGCTAAAGCATGATCAGGAAGGTACCGGGAATGCCTACCTTTAACACCAAGAGCTTAGATTCAAATAATGCTAACATATATTGACTGTCCCAAGAGACAAGGACACTACAGAATGATAAAAAGGTCAATTCACCAGGGAGATACAATCATTATAAAAATATATTCATTCCGACATCAGAACACCTATATGTATAAAGCAAACATGGACAGAACTGCAAGGAGAAACGGACAGCAATAAACAGCAGGAGACTGCAATACCTAACTTTCAGCAATGGATCCAACACCCAGACGGAAGATCACTAAGGGAACAGAGGACCTGAACAACACTATAGATCAAAGGGGCCTAACAGACATAGACAAAACATTCCTCTCAAACACCACGAGAGTACATACTATTCTCAAATACAAACAGAACATTTTCCAGGAGAGATCACATGTCAGGTCACAGAACAAGTCTTAACAAATTTAAGGTGACTGAAATCATACCAAGTATCTTTTCGAATGACAACAGAATAAAACCAGAAATCAATAACAGAAGAAAAACCAGGAAATTCACAAATAAGCAGAAACTAAACAACACAATCTTAAACAACCGATGAGTCAAAGAAGTCAAAAGGGAAATGAGAAAACATCTGGAGACAAACAAGAATGAACATATAACATACTAAAACTTATGGATGCAGCAAAAGCAGAACTAAGAGGGGAGTTTATAGAAGATCTCAATTAAAAAGCTAATTTTATACCTCAATTAGAAAATGAAGAACAAACTAAGCCAATCATTGTTTTCTAACACCCAACTCTCTCTTTTTTTTTGTTTCAAGTTTTTATTTATATTCCAGTTAGTTAACATATAGTGTAATATTAAGTTTCAGATGTAGAATTTAATGATTCATCACTTCCAACACCCAAGTCTATGTAAAAACCTAAATAATTACTCCTGGGGCTATCCCCACCTACTGACTTTTAATGTACTACCTGTTCTATTTATCCATGTATTTTCTTGTGTTTTTGTCCAAATATATGCAAATATAGGAAGAATGGTTAGATGTTAACATTTTTTAGCTTGCTTTCAATATATTTTTCATAGTGACCCTTCTTTATGACATTTTGAGTAAAGTTATTTTTTTCTTACCATTCCAGTCTTTCAAAAGAATAGCTTAAGTTTACATAAAAATTACAAATTTAGATTTTTCCAAGTACAGCCCTAAAAATTATATTAAATGAGGAAAAAGATACCACTTTTAACCCCTCCAACAATTTCATAATTTTAATGGACAGTACCATATCAACAGGAAGAAAATAACAGCTGAACAATTGGTTCCCTTATTCAAAAAAACTTAAAATCTTAAACAAATTTACTTTTACTGATTGACTGAAAATATCTCTACAATGTCACCTGCAGTATTTTCTTTCTTTATAGGACAATCTTTGCTAAACATTAAATCCTACAGATTTATTCCCATTACCATAGGTACTTAACAAGCAAAAGAGATAATGCTTTGTAAGCTTTTAAATAAAGCAGAAATGGGGGGAAAGTATTATGTGATAGGCTTTGTTTGTTTTCCTGTTAACCCTTTAGAAAACAAAATACCATGAATTTCTTTTTTCCAACTCCAGTATGATTTAAGTCTTCAGGTAAAAAAAAAAAAAAAAAGAAAAGAAAATGGACTTTGGTTCATCTGGTTTCTATCACTGTGAATCTCATTTCAAATTATAATGTTTACAAGGTACTTGACACCAATTATTCTCTCATCAAAATTCCTTACTTATTATTTCTGAGAATTTGACAAACACCTTTTTTTTGGTAATCAGAAATAATATATTTATCAGAAAAATCCAACTTATCCATAACTTAAGCCATTGGTAGTAAAGTTAAATTCAGGGTTTACCAGTCATTTCATTAGCCTTTAAAGAAACTATTTTTAATTTTTTTTTAAAGATTTTATTTATTTATTTGAGAGAGAGAGAGAGAATGAGAGATAGAGAGCACGAGAGGGAAGAGGGTCAGAGCGAGAAGCAGACTCCCCGCTGAGCAGGGAGCCCGATGCGGGACTCGATCCCAGGACTCCAGGATCATGACCTGAGCCGA